ACTAAGGTAGCAATCCGCTACAGATTAAGCCGGCCAAGATTTGCTTAAGCAAGCTTAATTAACCAGTTCAGTTTTTGTTCTATTGGATTTATCTTAACGAAGGTCTAGAATTTGAATCATATCCGAAACTGCTACTTTTAAATTTAAAAAATCCTGTAAAATAATTCTGGAGTTCCTTTAATATTACAGTGGCGAAATGCTATTTACACTCCATCATGACCACATTGAAATAAGTCAAAGCGAAATTCGTTTTTAAAGGGCCTTATTTATAATTGGTTATAATAATCACTAAACTACATGAGGAAAAAATAACAACTTTGAATTAGTGTAGTACTTTTAGACATGAAAAAATCTTAAAGAGGCTGAATATGTGATGGAGGAAACGTAACGCCCATTGCCTAATTGTGCATAACCTTTCTCTTATTGCTAATTAGACGTCAATTGGCCAACCACTTTATAGTGGTTCATTTTGGTCGTTGAACACAATTCAGATTGTCCCTAATTCCACACCATTCTCTTTACACTGCTTACCTCTTCACCCCCCCCCCCCTTCTCATTCCAAGCGAACCAACTTTTGATCTCCTTGTTCATTAATGCCTTCCGTTTCCTAATAATTTTAGAAGAACCCTTGCCTCTATAAGAGGATGATTAGGTTTGGAACTTTTGATTTCTGGATTTATCAAGTTGTCTACTCAACGTACCACAGCTTGAATTTCCTAATTTTACGCCTTAGTTAAAAATGAGTTTTCTAGACAGTTTTAAGGACATTTCCACAAAGTGAATCAAGCGAAAAAATTGTATTTAGTGAATTACAAACAAATTATGAATAGAAAATGCGAATAACGCTCAATTTTTAACTGATCTTTTACCACTATTAATGGAAGAACTCAGAACGCACTTAACTGAATTACATAATAATAGAATTAATAAGGAGTTATTGAAGTTGAGATAACCTGATCTATAGCAACCATGCCAATATGCAATGTTTTGTACATCTGCAAAGCCCATGCTAATTAATGTTCAGTTGATGGTCACATGTTTAAAGGTATATTTTATAGATCAATAATTTCACGTGGAGTTATACAAACATGTCTTCGGAACCTCACGCTTCTCAGGAAAACATTGAAAATGAAGATCAACTCAATGAAAAGACTGAAAATTCAGGAGGTCCAGAAGAGATAAACGAACTAAAAGAAGATCAAGAAAATGTTGAACCCAATACTGATGCAGAGATTCCAGAAGCGTTAAATGAATTAAAAGAAGACCAAGAAAATGTTGAACCCAATACTGATCCAGAGATTCCAGAAGAGATAAACGAAATAAAAGAAAATCAAGATAATGATGAAATTAATGGCGAGTCACCTGGAAAGGAAATCCCAGAGGATATAGGAGAGCACAGCGGTAACGATGGAAATGAAGAAAATGATGACGATGAGATGCCTATGACTAGCAGTAGACATTCTGGCACTAAACGAAGTTCTGATAAAAGTCCCACTGGTGTGACTCAACTGGAAGATCTCGAGTCGCATTTGAAGTCAGCAATTGACCAGTTAACAAACCTGCCTGTGGTTGATTTCTTGCAAAATATTAGTAAACAGGCCAATATCCACGCACAATCCGTCCAAGCAGCCAGAGAAATTGCCAGGGATTTTGTTTCTAAAACGACGGATTTAGCTGAATCGATGAAAATGATTCTTTCGTATGACCAAATGATGCTTGACAAACTTAACCACACAACAGCCCATGATTTTGGAGTTAAACCTAAGACTGACGAAGGTATGAATTTTAATATAACACCACCCTATTTCAAATTTGGTTTTTAAAAGCAGTGAGCGATTCTAAGTCGGTTTTTATGTCTAATGTGTTTGAATCAGATTAAGGGCCTAGGCCATTAATTTTGAGCTGAAAAATCTGGTTTCTAAACGGCAGAAGATAAATTAAATCGACTTGAATGTCCCATTAAAACTCAAGTGGGTAATCGTTCTTTCGTTAAATTGTATATAAACGAGGTTTCATCAAACTAATTAAAGGTGTTACAGAAATTAACAAGAAGGAAACTTTCTAAAATCCTAAAATAAATATTCTCCCTTTCATTTGGTGTAATAGTTTGAAGGTCATTTAGCTTTTATTCAAGTTGAGGAGATTTTGAAGACCTTCATTCATACTATTAGAAATTAAAAGGGAATATTTGCATACATATTTCAACATTTCCGACCTTGCCTACATTTTATTTAAAACATAGAAACTCGGGCGGTGATGATTGATCGGGCACAAAAGATTTTGGATCTCGGCCAATCAGAGTACGAAGTGAGTCATCATATCAGCGTTACAGCGAATCCATTGAGAGATTATCGATTTAACGCTTGTGATGAAGTGAACGCAATAGATAACAAGTTACAGAGCATTAAGGACATAAAGCCAGGCAAGAAAGAAACTCCTCAGGTAAAGGAAATCAACGAAGGCGAAGAAAGTCGCGCAGAACATTCTGAGAATGAAAACAAAGAAGAACCAGCTGGCCAGCAAGGACCGGAAAATGAACAAGAAAATTTAGTTGAATTTAATGACGGAAATTAACTATGCTTTCTCCCTTATAATATTAATTTTTATTTAAGTGACATTGTAATTACACAAAGATGGAATTCATCAATAATGCCTCTTTTACCAATTATGGAGAGGTTGGGCTATAGTACTTTTCTGAACATGAAAGAAAATTAAATGGCTTTTTAGAGGAATTTGCATAGAGCTCTTTCCTTTGCCATAGTTGGTTAGTGTAGTCAACTATACACGTAAGAGTATATACATTGATGAATCTGAATTTCGTGATCTCTAACCTGGCAAACTGAATAACTATAACTAGGTACGCTTAGGAAAGTGCTAACAACAACTAATTATGAAGAAAGAAGACTTTCCAAAGCCCTTTGGGGGAACACACTTCATGATGTCCCTCTTGTTGACCAGAATTTACGTTAATGAATACGAACTGTTATGAATTGATCCTCTGCATAAGATTCCTTTTGTTTTTTTAACGCATTATAACATTCACGGGCTTATATTGGGTTGGAATTTTCTAAATTGCAATACAAAGAGCAGCGCAACAATTTAAAAGTCAACTCAAGAGCATAAATCCAGTTCAGTACGAGTACTGCAGGCAGTATATGAATCCAAATAGGTACCCACTTGGTAGATAAATAGAAGTAAAATTGAAGCTTTTAGTACTTCGTCACACGATATGATGGCAGAAAGTTAATTAACGCTTCAACTCCTTCTGTTAACCTCTGAACCTAAGCTCCAAAGAAGGCCAATTCATATTCGTTGGTTTTGAATTTTTCCTTATATAACGACAAATTCTGCAGCAACTTCAGAGGTAAATAAATTCAATTTTTCTTCCTTTTATTTTCAGAATCATCAAGACACTGAATTATTCACATTAGGTAGTCAAAATAGTCGATCTTTTTCAGTAATTAGAATGGATTCTGATTCAACTCTTTGAACCCTAATATTACTTGCAGGACATGGTTAGGTTTTACAACCACTTCGATTCCAAATGTCTTCTTAACTTATGGTGGACTTAAGTTTATTAAAATACAGATAATAACACAGCTTTACTGGATGTGGAGTATACAACGCAATCGTGATTGGACAAAGAAATCTCATCTAGGCTTAGACAGACTTGAAGGTGCGGTCGTGCTACGTGTCGCCTAGAGACCAAGTGCGGCCGTGAGCGTAGAGACTTCTCAGGCAGCCGCCAATCAATGGTCTCTGTATTGTTTAGCAAACCCTTTATTCCTACATAATGACTAAGTTTCCTGTCTGTAACACGCTTCCCAAATAAACCATTCCAATCTAGGAGAATTTGCTGTAGGACTTACTGAATACAGCAGTCAGCTACAACTGCAGAGGTAATTTTGGGAAAAGGATGATTGTGTCGGAACTTATTTTAAAATAGTCCTCGATGAATTACAAAAAATATTATGTAATATTTGCCTTCGAGGTACATCAATAGTTTCACTGATTGGAAATTATCATGAAAGGCTTTTCCTCAAATAATGCAATTTTTTTAAGAAAATAAGCTTTTCATATTTGTGAATGAAAAGAAGAGCAGCAGTCAAAATTATAAACTGAAACAGGAATTGCAATTCATGAATGAGCTACAATTTAATGTGAGCATGATCTGCTTGCATGCTCTTTATAAAATTTCCGCGTTTAATAAAACAGCATCAATTTTGATTAAATCTTTCTCGTGGTTCTATACCACTTTTAACCTTGTTACACACCCCATATGGCACTGAACTGATTGCATACCTTTCCTCATTAAATGTCATTAAGAGGACAAGATTTAATTTATGATCTTATCCATCAATCTTATTATTTTTACCTATTCATTTGCTTCTGGTTCTTTTAATCAACTGGTGTTAAAAATAGGTCTTTGGGTTAGGGTGGGGTGGGGGGTGGGAGGGGGGTGGTGGTTCTGCATGCACCGTTAAGTATTTGTTGTAGTACGCTTGAAACGCGATTGCATATTGCACTTTTGAATCCTCTTGAATCAAGTTAACCATGTTTTGCTTATGCCTCATGGTTCGATACGCATTTCTTAGGATGCAGCTTTTTCCACTACTTCGAAGTCACGTTACTGAAACGCCCCAACACCCAGATGATGATTGTTCACTGGGTTTACATAACGATTGTGGAAAGTTGTTTTGATTCCAACAAATCAGCTCACTTAAAGATGTTGTGATGATGGAAAACAATACAGATTTATTTACTTAAATTAAGACAAGATGATTTAGTTGACACGTTAAATCGGAATTCCAAATATTTTCTAAACGTTTTGATGTGATTAATCAGTTACATGTTGATTTCTCAAGAAAACGCACATAAAGTTTAATTAGATTAAAGCACCTCGCACCAGCACATCTTGCCCCAACAAATACATTTTTGGCAAATACTCTTGCAGTTATTTTCAAGCCCTTAGTATAGTGAATTTGAAATCCACAGAAATTTGAAAGTGGCTATGACTTTACTATTTAATGTTTTGACATTTTCCCACGCTTTTAAAATTCTCCGCTACCATCGAAACAAGTTAAAACAAATGACCCACGTAGTAATCAATTTTTAGTTCATTTTTTACATAAATGCCTTCAAGTTACCAAGTAAAGTACTCTCGTTTGGCATTCTTTTTACCCAAGTCTGCGACAAAGAGGCTCAAGTGCAAATTTCTATTTTTTAATTAAAAGCCAGGTGTTCAACTAATCTCAATTCCATTAGCATCCATTTGATCTCATCGATCGATCAGCTGGAATAACTAGTAAAACAGTAGTACTTTTCAGTTTCTGGGAGGATTGAAAATAATGTAGTATAAACAGTTTCAGGGGAACTAAAAGCGTGACATTTCCATATGCAGTGCAATAAATTATTTACTTTTCACTAGTTCCCTTTATTGATGGTCAACCAAGAGAACGCTTAATACTGAGATCACATGTTACCACTGCTTAATGAATTCACCCATTCATGAAGGTCATCGCACAAAACACCCCGCCCCCTTGGTATTGAGTTGAAGTACTTCACTTCCAAATGGTGTCCTATGTAATAGAATGACTAAATTAGTAGTTTACGTTATTGCCACTATAGTTAAACAGACTTTGTCTCATAATACTTCTTTTTTGAATTTGTGCTCTTAGTAAAAACGTCAAACTTAGTTTAAAACAAATTTACTAATGTACATGCGAACTTGCCGCTGATATCAATGTTTAATAGATTTTTCAATGTTAGCATAGAACTACTTAAGATTCTATGTGTTGATAATCAACCGGTTACTGAATTTTAATCCAAATATACTATGAAGTTAGTATAAATTGAACCTTGAAATGAGGTGGGCACAGCGCTATATGGCTGAAACATGGAGTTTCATTCACTTTCGAATATTGGGGAACGGGTGGAGTTAATCTGGACCCGTAGCCATCAAGTGTGCGTGCTGTTGATCGCATTAGGAAGTAAGTGCGGTTGTGTGTGCAGAGACCTCTTAATCAATCAATAATCACTAGTTACTGCACTGCCGGCGTAACCAATATTGTATTTTAATGATTAGGCTTTGTGTCAGTGCCACACAACCATAATAAACACCCATAAACCATGCACTCGTAGTTCTCGATGTTGTCATGGAAGTTTAGATAATTTTCAGAAGATTTCCCAAGAGAAGCGATCTCTATTTGGGGAAGTTCCTTGGCGAACAAATTGGTGGCAATGTTGAATGCGTCAACCGTCCTCGAACTGTAGCAATTGTGAAGAATCAATAAGGTGAAAAGATGGGCAATTTACGATTAATGATAGTGAGGTTTTTTCTACCGATAGAGAAACACATTTATTTAAATCTTATTTCCAAATGATACAGGCTGTTTAATGTGGTAATGGAAATGAATAAACGTGAATGAAAAACTGATCTAATCAATACGGATAGCAAAACTGTTCAATATAGTTGCAAGGAAATTCTAATTTCTATTGGTTATTCTCGAGTTCCACCATTGTATGGATTGAATGGCCAAAAAAATCCCATAGGTTCAGCGTTTATGCTTTGTCTGGGTGTACCTAAGTGCCAAAGGTTATCTTAACGTCCTCTCATCATCCTTATCGATATACCGGTACACCTTACTCCCCGCAGCTTAACTCAGGAATTTCGGATTAAAAATAGTCATCAATCCGACTACGTTTTGACCTCATAACTTCAGTAACATGAACCCACCTGGTTTCCTCATATAATGCCTTTTATTGATTACCAGAGCTGAATCTTTCATGTCTAAATCGAATCAATCTTTTGACCATAAACCGTAGCGGAGAAGGCTTGTACTTTATGAAAGAAGGCAACTGAGGGGAAACAAAAATTTTTATTAGTCACTTGATCATATTTTTAAATATTTGGCCCATATAAATTTCCGCATTAATTAGGAAATGAGCAGATTAGTGAATCAATGGTCATTAGCTTGGCATCTTGACTTTTTTCCTTATCATTTCTGATCTCATTGGCCTCTTATTTTTATTTACCTTTGTTACCTTTCAAAATTTGAAACCTCTAATTTTCTTACTAATTATGAGAAATTATTGAGTCGTCAAGGCGACAGTAGTAAGCCATAGTTTGAACATCAATTACTTTAGCTCTTCTTGGAAGTCCCAGTTCTCCACGCCCAGTGACAAAAAAAACACGCCATTTGATAGACGCTCACATGAAGAACGTTCATAAGTCACTAGTAAATCCTAAAATAAAATCAGATTAATTTGTGAATGCTTCCATAATTTCGTATACAAATTAGTAAATAATTAAAGGCTGTAGTACTTAACTATTTACTGCTGTCCAACTATTTCATTAAGTAAGGAAGTCAAGGCCAAAGCAACACGCTATGCATATTCGGGAGGTTTTTCAAGATTTGAATGATACTAATATTTGGCCTGATTGAATTCTCTACCAATCCATTTAAGTAACCCATACAAGCTAAATTGCAGCGACCTTGCGAATTACCAACATCTTCCTATCGATTTGGCACAGATCTCTTCCATTCACATAATTCTGCGCATAATTCACTGCT